ATAGGTACTTAATAAAATGCTTATTCTCTTCCCTTCTCTCATTTCCCTTTCCTCCTCCTTGCAAAGGCCAAACCCTCTCTATGTGTCCCCCATCCCACTGTCTCTCATCTTCAGGAGCTTGTTTAGGTTTAAAAAAGGCTTTGCATGGGAAGTGACTGGAGCTGAGTTTTGAAGGAAGCTAGGGATTCTACTAGGCAGAGGTGAGAAGGGAGTATGTCCCAAGTATGAGGGTAGCCTGTCTGAAGGCATGGAAACTAGAGATAGACTAGCCCTCTTTCTCACCTCCATGTCCAATCAGTTGCCTTGAGTTCAAATCCCACCTGATATACTTAATAGCTGTGTGAACCTAGGCAAGTCATTTAACTTCTGATTCCCTTAGTTTCCTCATCTGTAAAGTGGGGATGATATTAGCACCTACCTCCCAGCATTATTATGAAGATTGAGTGAAATAATATCTATAAAGCACTTTGCAAACCTTAAAGTGGTATTTCAACGAGATAGCTATCCTGTTATAGCATCTCCTGCATCCAGATACTTCTCTACATTCACACAGCCCTTACCCTGATTCAGGGACTCTTCACTTTTTACCTGGGCTACTGTAAAAGCCTCCCAGTCAGTTGTCTGCTCATGTTCTCTCTCCTCTCTAGCCCATCTGCTACACAGTTGCCAAAGGTTCTGGTCTGTCACTTCCTTGATCAAAAATGTCAGTAGCTCACTATTGCCTATAGGGTAAAATATAGTGTCTTTAATCTGGCATTTGGAGTTCTCCACAATTTTCTTCTTTCTAGCCCTGTTTCCCACTGTTCTCCTGCATGGACTCTTATGTTCTAACCAAACTAACAAATGGTTCTTCTCTAAACTCAGTATTCCATTTCCCATCTCAAAGCATCTGCACAAATCATTCCGCAGGCCTGGAATCTTCTCCCTCCTGTCCCTCTCCTCTGCCTCAGACTCTGTCTTCCTTCAAGGCTCATTTCAGGTGCCACTTTCTCCCTGAAGCCTTTGCTGATCCTCCCAATTCTCAAGAATTCCTTTCTGCCTTCATTTTCCTTGCATGTTCTGATAGAACACCCAGGTAGAATATAGTGTAAGCTAGTAGAAGGCTAGGGACATATACTGTATTCTGTTAGAAACTATATATATATAGAAACTATATGTTTTTCATTTCCAGTATGTAGCCCAATGCCTTGCACCTAACAGATGCTTAATAAATGCTTTCTGGGTTAAACCTGCCCCATCCTGTGACTCCACTGTCTAGCTCTTTCTGTGCCATGTTGGGGGGTGATGAATTGGATGTCAGCTCACAGCCTGTCCACCCTCATTCTTGTAGGTACTCTGGAAATGGAGATGAATGGGAAGGCTCAGATGGCATCCCTCAACACAAATGTCACCATCCCCTGTATCCTGTATGAAAGTGGTTCTGTAACCCTGAACATCAGTCTCATTGGAGTCAGGTGGTTCCTGAGAAGGGCAGACTCTGACAAGGAAGACAAAGTCTTTGAATACAATGGAGGAAAACAGACTCAGTTCAGACCAGGAGCCAGCATCTCACTGTCAAGGCTGAAGAAGGGAAATGCCTCTCTCTTCCTGCCTTTTATCCAGCTTCAGGAAGGAGGAGAGTACAGATGTGAAATAATCATCCCTCCTACCAAAGAGGAGAGAACATCCAGAGTGGACGTGGTTGGTGAGTGAGAAGGGACCTGGTCTCTAGTGTTCCATGTGTATTGGATGGCTCACAGTTGGAAATGTCTGTCTGGGCAGAGGGTGGGATGAGAGGGTGGACTGTATGTTAATTGATTAGTCAAACAGTAATGATAACTTCCATTTCTAAAGCCTTTTGAGATTTTCAAAGCATTTTCCTCCTGACAAACCTATGAGGCAAAGATTACTATTCCCATTTTATTGAGGAGGAAACTGAGGATCAGAAAAGTAATTTGCCCACATTTATACAGAAAGTTATTCAAGCTGGAACTTAAACCTAAAGCTTCTAGCTTCCAAAGTCCATTGAATTTTACCCTGTGCCTCAACCTGGAGTATTTATTGAGTCCCCACTGAGCAAGACTCATGACACTGTCTAGGGGCAGCTAGGTGGTGCAGTGGATAGAGCACCGGCCTTGGATTCAGGAGGACCTGAGTTCAAATCTGGCCTCAGACACATAACTCAACACTTACTAGCTGTGTGACCCTGGACAAGTCACTTAACCATGTTGCATAGCCAAAAAAAAAAAAAAAAGAAAAGAAAGAAAGAAAGAAAGACACTGTCTAGCAAGGTTGGCTGCACCTTGGAGTACTTGCAATCTTCCTGAGTGGAACAAGTACCTACATGTAGGAAATTGTGAATGTATGGTGCATTGAAATATGGACCAAGGAGAGAGGTTCCCAGGGACTCTCATCAGTACTTATGCCTTTTAGTCTCCGTGAGTCTGGGAAAGAAATTTCTACTCTGTGTACCCCTATTTCTTCATCTGTAAAATAATCCAGAAGAATAATTTTTTCTTGTCTGATATTGATTCAGTCTAGATGAAGACTATCTCTGTGTATGTATGTATTTGTGTGTTTTGAGTGTGGGGTTGGATATCCTTTAATGCATGAGGGGACAGTAAGAAGTGAATCTTCTGGAACAGTGCTTAGCACAGTGCCTTACACATAGTAGGTGCTTAAAAAATATTTATTGATTGACTGACTGACTGCCTTCCAATGTGTCCTTAGCATGACCCAACAACAAGTCCTATCTCCTTACAGCTCAGCCCTCCAGCATCCCTTTGCCACCAGAAACTGAAGTGGAGGAAAAGAAAGTGTACATCAAGAACTGCACCGTAGCAGGGTTCTACCCTGACTCAGGTAAAATCGCCTGGAAGGCAGTGATTCCAGGCACTCACTCTAGGGATGAAGAGATTTTTCCCGGCCATCTCCAGGAACTCCATTAGAAACAATGATGGTACATTTAATGCCACCAGCAACTTCATTCTGCATCCAGTTTTGGAAGAATATGGAGCCATCTACCAGTGTGTGGTTGCCCATAAATCAATGTCGATCCCATTGCAGAGCAGCACTGCCTTGATTGTGACAGGAATCTGTCCTCCCTGGCTTTATAGATTCTTAAATTCAGTGTAGAAAATTTTATATATTGTTCTTGCTCATTTAAAAAAAAACTAGGATAAATTGTTTATTGAATGACGGAATGTACCTTATTCATTGCCTCTCTTCCCCTATTCTCCTCCTCTTTGCCTCTTTTCCTCTATTTCTGTCATTTTTGGTTCATCTCCTCCTTTCTTCTCATTTCACCTATTCCCTTTTTTTCCTTCTATTTTTCCCCTGTTTTCCTCTGTTCTTCTCTTGTTCCCCTCCTCTCCTGTTTCCATCCTTGACTCTCTCCTTTGCTTTATTTTTTTTTCTATTTCTTCCTTCTGGTCTTCCTCCTCTCCTCTGGGCCTCTCTGTTTCTGCCTTTTGTGTTGATATTTGGTCACAAAAATCTCACTTTATGGTATTACATTCCATTGTATGAAGGTGACACCCAAAGTTATTCTAAGATTGGTGTTCTACTAAAGCCTGAAGCTCTACCACATACTACATACAATTATGTGGGAGTATGTGGGAGGATGACAGCATAGTCCAGGCACATAGGACATATAGGCTACCACATATACACTAGGTTCTATTTGCCTATTTTATATATTAAAAATTTTACCATGACCAAGTTCCAAAAGGACTTTAGGGAGTATGGAGATTAAAACAGAGCATTAAGTAAGATCTTTATAGGTAAAGGAGAAGAGAGGTCATCTAAAGAAAGCAGAAGGATTAGATCCTGCCAAGGACCTAAGATGGACCAGTTATGATATTTGGGGAACTACACTAGTTCAGAGCCATACCTGTGGTAGTATGACTAGAGCTTTTCCTCAGGATTAGTGGGCTCAACAACTTAAAATAATGATTTGAAGAATCTGAACTTTTAAAATTTGTTAGATTTTTAAGAAACATGAACTCTTGTTGAGTAGAAGAACTGGGCTTGGTATTTAATTAACAGGAATAATTAGTTAATCTAGGAAACTACCACATGGTGTACTTCTTTTCCCCCACTTCACTATACATATCCCACATGAGCTTTTCCTGGGCCTGACCTCAACCTCTTTCACCATGTGTCACACTGATAGTCTCCCCAGCAGTAGATTTTTAGGGTCTTGGGACTGTTCTCTATAGAGGTTGATGTCCTGTGATCTCTGTCTCTCTACCATGAGATGAAGCCCTAGGTTCTCTCCCCATGGAGTCTTGTGTCCTGGTGTTGCATCTTATTGTAGTAGTAGGGAGGAATGCCTTGGGTTCTCATCTACATCCCAATTGAATTATCTTCACATCATGAGCTGCAAAGTTGATTTGAACATGTCTTTGGTGCTGCTAATCACCAATACCCAAGCTGTTCATCCAACTAGACACCAGTCAGAGCCCTGCCTTCTAAGCTGAGTAAACTGGCAGGAAGCGTTTTTCAGTTGTGGAAAATTTTAGAGAAATTGGAGACTTGTGAATTTCCTCTGTTGGGAGAATCAAAAGTCAAGGACACCACTGGGAGAAAGAGCCAGAGGCGCAAGGAATGGCTAAGTTAGTCCAGGTGTGTGTGAAAAAAATGTCGACTTTGAGGGGGAAGGAATCAGGACTCAATCCCTTGGGAGTTCAGAGCTAGGGACGTTGACACCATAGCATAAATGCCAGGCAGTTCTAAGTAAGTATCCTCCAAGGGTAGTAAAACTTAGTGGTGATGATCATTGAATAGCCATCTGAATGTGTTCCCTTCTTCCATTTGCAGAGCTTGTAAAGACTACAGTTTTGGAGATCATTGGGAACATACTCCCAGTGATATGCATATGTTTCTTTGTTTGGATATTGGTTGAATTTCTCAGAAAAGGTAAGAAATGCTTTGGGGTGATGAAGGGGAGGAATACCTTGGGAAATGTAGGTGATGTTCAATAAAAGATATCAATAAAATTTATTTTAACATTTTTTAAGATTGAGGTAAAGGGCTGAACTGAGCCAGCATTTCACAGTCAGCAGAGTGGTTCCTAGGAAGAATAGGAGGGAGCACAGAGGAGGAGATGAATAGGGGTACTGAAGGGAATACACAGTGTTGGTCACAGTTTCAAATGTAGGTCCTTCTTTGTGTCAAACCCTGCTCTCAAGAGAAACTCTAAATTTAATTCTATTTTTATTTTTTTGTGAGGCACTTGGGGTTAAGTGACTTGTCCAGCATCACACAGCTAGTTAAATGTTATGTGTGTGAGGTCAGATTTGAACTCAGGTCCTCCTGACTCCAGGGTCGGTGCTCTATCCTCTGAGCCACCTAGCTGCCCCTTCCAAATTTAATTCTGGAGCAAATCTATGTTACACTAGAGAGTCTTGATGTTATCACTTTTGGGAATGTAATAGTGTGAATCCAACTTTCATCCTTCCAAAGGGGACAATGCTGTGTGATAGAAATTAGGATTTCCTAAAGCATCACAGCTAGATTAGGAAGATCTGGGTTTGAATTCCTGACTGTGATCATATCCTGGGCCATCACTCAAACTCTCTAGACCTTGGTTCTTTTTTTTTTTTTTTGTCTAGGCAATAGGGTTAAGTGACTTGCCCAGGGTCACACACCTAGTAAGCGTCAAGTGTTTAGTCTGAGGCCGGATTTGAACTCAGGTCCTCCTGACTTCAGGGTTGGTGCTCTATCCACTGTGCCACCTAGCTGCCCCTGGTTCTTCATTTCTAAAATGAAGATACTGGACTCTATGATCTCTAATGTCCTTTCTAGCTCTAATAGTCTACGATGCTGAAAGATACATGACCTCATTGCTGTCGGTTTCCTTTCTACCAATGCAGGTCACTCACAGTCCCTTCCCACTTTAATAGACGGTCATAGCAGTCAACTCCAGTGTGACACTGGTTTGTTCTTGAATGAGATTATGAGTTTCTCTTGAGAGCAGGATCCAATACAAGGAAAGAGCCTCCCACCTCCAGATAATAAGCCTCTACTAGCAAGACCAGTCCTTAGATGAGAGGGGTACAGTTCACCCCAGACTTACACTTCAGGCCTTGCCAGCTCACAAGAACCACTGGCATAGACTCTTAAAATCCAGGGTCACCCCCTCCACACTATGATAAGTAAGGCCTTGGAAGAGGATTCTACAGGATGAATTTTAATAAAGGTAAGTACTGTGATTCATATTTCCCTCATTTTATATATTGTTAAAATTTTTTTATGACCCTGACAATCATGAACATTTCCATATGTAAAGGACAGAAGAGGATTGGAAATAAAGCCATGAATTTTTTGAATTGTATGTGGAATTTTGATAGCTTAGAGTAGGGAGTGGAGAGCCAACCTTGGAGCCATGAAGAACTGGGTCGACATCAGGTTTCTGACACATAGTGCTTGTGTGATTCTGAGTAACTTATTTAACCTCTGTAGGAAATACTCTAAGACTGTAAGTTGAAGAGAAGGTACCAATTTGCATTGGATGAGGGAGCTTCCTCACCTGGGAGTTCCCTATCACAATGAAATCACAGGTTTCTTTCCTGTCCCTATCCCCTGTTATATTTCACAGTGTCCCGTGTGTGTGCCTGTGTCCTCTTCTGAACTTCCTTCTGCTCTCTTTTACATATTTTAGTCAATTTATATTTTTAAGAGCACTTGCATACATAATTGTTACTTAATTTGTCCCTATCAGAGGTCTGTGAGATGGATAGCAGATGTACTCTTGGTCCCATTTCATAGATGTGGAGACTGAGGCTGAGAGAGGTTAATTAATCAATCAATGTTTATTAATGTGTCAGGCACTGTGTTAAGGTTAAATTAAAGGCCCACAGTCATACAGAAAATTCATGAGAGATTCACCACTAGAACTCAGGTTTCCTGACGCTTTCTGTTATCCCTGGCTATCTCTACTATATCCAAGAGGAAGGACACAGATTGGGAAGGGCAGGGGCCTGGATGACCCATCAAGTCTCTGATGTCAGGCAGCCAGATCCAATGCATGGAATGCTTAGACCAGTGGGCTAGGGACCCATTTGTTTCTGTGACTCACTAGGTGTCCTTGGGCAAATCACTGTCCCTCTCTAGGCCTCAGTTTTCCAATGTCTAAAATTGGGAGAATGAGCTGAGGAAGGTGAATTTGCTAAGAATTGCTGTGGCTCCTTTAATGGAAGCAGGATATACATACATATAAAGATCCTCCTTCCTTCTCTCTCAGAGATGCAGAGAGCCTTGCCCATCCTCTTCCTACAGGCACCAAACTTGCCACAAAATAAAATGGGTACAACCTAAGGGGACGTGAATTATTTTTTTTACTTTTTAATTTACTTTTTAATTTATGGAATAAAACAAGCATTTCCATAACATAGTACAATAAAAAAGATGGTGATTGTACATGAAACTGCAAATCTTCCATTCACAACTTGCTATTCCATTCAAATATACAACAAAATTATCATCTTTTTTCTTCTCTGCCCCCCATTCTGCCCCCCCCTCCACCCAATGAATTATCGTTGGAAGGGACTTGGATCTCATTCAATCCCTTCATGTAGAAATGGAGGTCCAGAGAAGAAGAAATTCTTAACAAAAACTCACATCCAAGCATACAACCCTTGCCCCAAGTACACAGCACAATTCTTCTGAAAACAAAAATGATAAAAAATAGTTCATTTTTCTGTTGTGTTGTCAGGTTCACAGAGCCTTTTCCTCATGGCAGCTCTTGGTACATAGTGCCAGCATTGTTATCTTCATTTTGTAGATGAAGAATCTGAGAGTCAGAGAGCTGGTGGTCAAGTTCATTCATACAGGCAATGACAGAGGCAAGATTTAGAACCTAAGTCTTTGTGCTCTCAGGCTAGCAGTTTCTGCTATGTAGCTCTGCCTCACTATTCTGGGCCTCTGAGTGAGAGTTTATTCTCTCTGTGTTAGCCTCTGTCCTTGGTGCTGATAGGTTTGGGAAGTTGGTGGGCTGGGAAGTCTGTGGCTCAAATGCTTGATTTGTTTTTAGCTTACTCAGGACAACACATCTCTCTCCTCAGTGGCACCTGTGCTGAGCCTCCTCCCAGAAACAGTACAGTACCTCAGGCACCAGGAGATGAAGACTTTCCATTTTGTGATTTGGGACTACAGGCCCAAATCTTTGACACTGAAGCTTTTCCTAAAGACTAATTCACTGAACAAGAAAGAGCTTCTCCTTTGCTGGAGGACTCAGGGTATGGAAACGGAGGAAAAGCCAGAATCCATGCAGCTGATGGGGAGCCAGGCAGAGTTCACCTTGCATCTTGTAGTCCAGGCCCTGAGATATAATGTCTTTGGAATATCAGGTCATCTCACTGTGGCGTCTGACCTATCTAGGTTCACAGAAGCAGATCTCCTTCTCCAGGTGGAACATTCAGCCCTCAAGATCCCCCTCAGAAGGAAGATCCATCTGAAAGTCATAGGTAAGTTGAGAGTGGAAGGTGACCTTTAATTGCTTTCTAAGGGTTATCCCCACATTTTCTGTGGCTTTTAAGTGTCTCAAACAGCTTGTGTTTAAGATAACCAATCTTGATGGCAATGTAGCAATGGCCATGTCTGTGTAAAGGGAGAGAAGAGTCCTTCATTGTATTCCATTCCATTCCAGTCCACAACTGTTTCATAGAATTGTAGACTTTCAGAGTTTGAAAAGACCTCTCTTTCCCAACCTTTACTTGAGCAATTATCCATTCTTTTTTTCTGTTTTGTTTTTTTAAGGCAATTGGGGTTAAGTGACTTGCCCAGGGTCACACAGCTAGTAAGTGTCAAGTGTTTGGTCTGAGGCCGGATTTGAACTCAGGTCCTCCTGACTTCAGGGCTGGTGTTCTATCCACTGCGCCACCTAGCTGCCCACAATTATCCATTCTTTAATGACTTAATAAAGCTCATCCTTTGCTAGCACTCTAAGATTTATAAAAGATTTTCATTACAACAACCCTGTCATAATAAAAATAGCTAGCATTTCTATAGCCCTTTAGTTCCACAGGCCAGGCTCAGAAGCCTGCCATGGTCTCTCCCAACACAACACCCTTTCCTATGTCCTGACTCTGACCCTGGTGCTCTTTTTCTCTCCAGCTCAGCCCAAGCTGAAAAAGATTCGGTGTTCCTCAGTCCATCTCCAGCCGGGGGAAAGTGTGACCTTGACGTGCAGGATCCACTCCTTCTTTCCCAGAGCTGTCAAGGTGTCTTGGTATAAGGAGGACAGGCTGATGTTGGAGGACATCAAGACATCAGAGGCTTTGGAGACCTTGGAGGATGGACTGCTTTGCTCCTGCACCACCAAGCTGGAGTTCTCCCCTCACATGGAGGACCTTGGGAAGAAATTCATATGTAAAGCTGAGGTGGAAGGGGGTGAGCCTGTGGAGAGGCACTGGGTCCTGGGGGCCCTGGGTGAGTCCCCATCAAATGGGGACCATAGGGAATCACCATAGAGTGATTCTGAAGGTACCTTCAACACTAGATGTAGGAAATGATGTACTGGTTGATTTAGAAAAACATGGAAAGACCTGGATTTGTGAAGGAAATGCCATCTATCTTCAGAGAAACGGATGACAAGTGGAAATAAGCATAGTATATGCGTGTATATGTGTAATACGTGTATGTTTATAGATATCTATATATGTATATATAGATATCTCTGCCCTTAACTGTAGCCTTCTTTAGGGTAGGGTGGGGGGGAGGGAGGGAAAAAAAAGCAAAAAGTGAATAGGAGAGAACAAAAGAAAACCTACAAGGAAGCAAAGAAAAGCTGGACAGTTTTGAACACAATGTGTAGTATTTATTATGGAGGCTTTATTAAAACGGAAATTTACTGTTTTATATTGAACCCTCTCTTATGTTCTGCTGTGTGCGTGGCAATTTTTTTTCTTTTCTCATTTTGTATTTAAGTTTAAAATACATAAAAACATTTACAAAAAACAAAAGAAAATAGGACTCCCAGACAACATCTATTTTGGTCACTTGGTTTACTCCTATTAGACTCCTAAAGACAAGGCCATTTTTAAGCATTAGTATTTTTTAAAAATCAGTTTTTATTATTGATTTTTGTTTTCATGTCATCTAATTTTCTCCCTTCCTCCCTTCTCCATGCTCCCAGAAAGCTATTCCTTAAAAACAGTAACTCATTTTGGCAAGGAAGGAAAAAGGAAAGCAGACCAAAAAATACAGCAAAACTGACATTATACATAAATACATATATATGTATACACACACACACACACACACACACACACATATATATATACACACACATATACATTTAAATATAAAATCTTATGTGTCACACCCAGGGCCCCGTCCCTACTTCTTCCTTTGCAAAGGAGCAGGGGGTGAGGGGGTAGGGGGGCATATCTCCTCCTACCTGTCTTTGCAGTTTTACAATATTTATTTTTAATTGTTTTGTGGTGGTTTTTCTTTGTGCTTTCTTTACTGTAGTCAATGTGTCCATGGTTTCCATGACTTTGCCGACTTCATTAGTGTCTTCATTTTCTGTAGGACATAACCATCCATCTCTGGTTATTCTTTGCAAGCACAGCTAGTCCTAAATAAGCCTAACCTGGTCCAGGGTTGCCAGTATTAGCATAAAGTGAAAGTGTAATCAATAGAATGCAGTGATATAATTGAATCTAATGTAATTAGTGACACCCTCCCCTATGCAGGGTAGGACTTGTTCATTTATGCCAAAATGGGTTATACTCAAACTTTGGGATAAAAGAGGGACTCTTGGTCCCTTGGGCTTGTGTTTCCAACTCAAGACTCATGGTATGAAAGTGATGAATGTGAATCAGGTTTGAGAATGCTCCCTGGATCTCGATGTTCTTATGGATGTCAGGACCCACCCCAGTCCTTGGTGGCAACCCAGAAGTGCCCCTATCCTTGAGACAAAGGCCTATTGCCTTGGGATTGTCTGGCTGGGGCCATCATCCCATCCCTGGCTGAGCTGTAGGTATACGTGTATATGTATATGTATATGTATATATGTGTATGGCTTCAGAGGAATGGTCAGTATGGTGTTTGTTGCCTGATTTGTCCTCCATAACATCTTTCAAAACCACCCAATCCTCTCTACTCATCAAGTCACCATGCTAGTTCAAGCCCTTATTGCTTTTGTGTGTAGATGCAGAGCAACTCCCTTTTGAGAACTAATCCGTTTTGTTCACACATGTATGTACTCTCCTATTCTTAGAATGCAAGTAACCCAAAATAGGACATGCCCAGGTACCTTGTACAACCACTTTTGAGAGATGGCCTAGCCTCTTGTATCATGTCATGCAGAAATCCCTAATCCTGAAACTCTGCAAATAGAGCTATTGCCCCACACCCGCCTCCAGCGCCAGCAACAGGGATCCTGACCAATCAACTCCGCTCCTCTCCCGCCTTATAAAAATACTGCTCCGTCCCCGAACTGTGTTACTCTACCCAAGCAGGAGAGCCACCCTCGCTGGTGAACTGTATAAACCTTGCATTGCTTCACAAATTTCCATTTCGATTACTCAACTCTCCACGCCTCTCACCTGGACCGCTGCGATGACCGCCTAATTGGTCTCCCAGCCCCCTTTAATGCATCCTCTACACAGCTGCACACGCGAGGAAATAGGGGGTCTCACATTGTGCTTCTACCCTTCTATGTACCTATAGTTGCCCACGTTGTCTCCTCCTATAGAATGTAGCTTCTTTGAAGGCAGAGGCTATTTCAATTTTTGTCTTTGTAGCCCTGGTACCTCCTGATTTTTCCTAAAGCACAGGTCTCACTGAGTCACTCCCCTACTCAGCAAACTCATCAGTGTTGGCTGCTTTAATTAGTCGCTGCTGAGATCCTCTCTCAAACCCCGCCCATTTCCTATTATAAACGAAACTAAGAAGCTCAGGCTTCCAGTTCCCTGATCTGCAGCCATGGTGAGAGGCAGTAGTCGGATGGATTTTGTGCGCCTGGCAGGTAGGAGAGGAGATGGGTTTAGCAGGATGAAGAGGAGAGGAGAGAGCACACGGGGTTGGAGGAGGACGTGGGGTTCGCTGGGCTTTAGGTGCAGCCCCAGTTTTGGGTCCGGAGAGGCTTGGAAATGTGCAGAATCGTCCCCCTCTACTCATGTCCCCTTCCCCTCTTTCTCCTTCCCCGCTTCTCTCTGGTTCTTCACCTCTGGGACATCTATGGGACAGAGCGTTGAGTTTGGGGAGTTAGGATTCAATACAGACACTCCCGGTGGGCTGACTGAGCTGGTTGCTGAATGAGGCAGTGAGCTCCTTCTGCCCCCCGTCCTCGCCTAGTCCCGGGTCTCACACGTGGGTTGGAGAGACCTAAGGGATCGTCCAGTCCTGCCTCTTCATTTGGTATTGGAGGAAACTGAGGCCCAGAGAAAGGACGAGATTGTTAAAATAATTCACACAGGCAGCAGAACCAGGAATGGAATCTGGGTCCTTTTCTTCCTTTCTCAGAGTCAAGGCCCTAGGAATGAGCCAGGAGAGTAGTCTGAGTGTGACTCATGAGGACGCTGGGTTCCAGTAGTTCTGTTGGAAGACTTACTCTCCCCTATCCCCTGACCCTCCATCCTCTGCTAGCACATGCCCCCATCCCCCAACTCCGCCACATCAACACACATGACTTCCTCTATTTTGCTGTGCATTTCCACCCCAACCCCAGTGACTCGGAAGACTCAGTGGTGGGAAGGTTTCATTTGTTTATTTGATTCTAGTGAACATTTCTCCCATGAATGTTCACAAGTTTACAGCCGTGGAAATCTTCCCACAGCCCTCTCATCTCAATAAGATTTAAATCCTTCTCAAACCTCTCTTTCCATACTCAGAGCTGAACACTTCATTTACCTCCACTACTTTCACAGTGTAATGTCTTAAAATAGAAGTACTGAATTTGGAGTCAGAGGATGGAGGCTCAAAGTCCCAGATCAGCTATTTGAGAGCCCTGTGACCTCAGGTCAAGGGGTGCATCCTCCTAGAGACAGATCTGAAAAATCAGGGGATCAGATTAGATGAACTCTAAAGCCCTTCCCAGCTCTAAATCAATGATCTGATGCTTTCTCATTTTCTAGATGAAGATTTTGTGAGCCAGAGTGGCCACAAGACATGTGTGGGATCACCATTCTAGTCTACCATACTTAAATAGAGGCCTTAGGACTGGGGGTCCATGGCCTTTTCTGTACACCACAAAATGAAAGGCCCATTTCACACCAAATACACATTTGCTATCCATCAGTCAGACCTTTACTGACCCCCTAACACTGGTCCAGAGAGGTGACCTCAAAGCCAGAAAGACCTGAGTTCAAGTCTTTCCAGTATCACACGCTGACTGTGTGAACCTGGTCAACTCACCTAAACACTCAGTAGTCTAGACAATTTTTAAGACTATAAATTGCAGAGAAGATGCAGGGAAAGAGGGAGGGAGCATGGAGCAGAGTGGAGAGGAGCACTGAAGGGCATTTGCGCTGTGAGGAGCTGTGGCCTCTGAATAGGGGCTCTCTTCCTGTATGCGATACTGTTCTCCAGAGGAGGTCCCCATTACATGCAGGTACTGTGTCAGCACTTAGGATGGCAGTAAAGGGAATACTTTGTCAGGACTTTACAAAGAGGCAGTACAGGGCAGTGGGGAGAGCACTGCATTTGGATCTGAAAGACATGGGTTTCAGTCGTGGCTCTGCAGATTAGGAACTGTTTGGCAAACCCCCAAAGCTCTCTGGGCCTCAGTCTTCCCATCTGTACAATAAAGGAGGTGGCCTGGATGGGCCCTTCAAGGATCTTTAAAGGTCTGATTCTGTGGTTTCTGAGAGGTCTATGATTTCATCCACATCCAACCATGCAGGCCCTTCACTCTTAGGTAGACAGTCTTTCAGAGACTTTCTGTAGCTGGAAACAGTACTTCCCTGGTTTCCAGGTCTCTGGGGATGAGCTTCTTGTCACTTAGCCAGGCTGATCCTTAGGGAAGAGGCACATAGCCCTTTCTAGGCCCATGTTCAAAGAATTTTTACACTGGTGCTCTTTGAGAAGCCATCATGGTCAGGTCCATGCTGAAATTGGACAATTTCGCAGGATTTAGAAGAGGAGTGTTAATAAAGATAGTCCTAATTCTAGCCTGCATTTTACTTTGAAGAGCACTTTTACCCATACGTACAATCTCATGGGATCTGCACAACAGCCGTGTGAGGTAGTTAGCAAATATATGCATAAGCCCATTTCCCAGATATGGAAACTGAAGATCAGGGAAGTTGAGAGACTTGGCCAAGGTCACATAGTGAGTTCATGAGGGAGCCAGCACAAGAAGTCAGACTTTCCAAGCCTTCCTCCTCTCCCAGGCTGCCTCTGTTGTGTGCTGAGGAAGAAACAGGGCAATAAAAGTGACAGCCTGGGAGCCCCAGCAGGTCATTGATGCCAGACGGTCAGCTCCAATGAAGGCAGTGTTGGAATGAAGGGAGCCAGCTGCTCCTCTGACTCAGCTGATGTCCCTGGGCAAGTCATTGTCACTCTATGGGCCTCAGTTTTCCAGTCTGGAACATGGGATGGATGAGATCTGCTCCTTTGTAGTTTTAGTTTTAGGAAAACAAATGGGACTATTTATGTTCAACAACACTCAGGTACACTTTTGAAGGAAGGAGGCTATACAGTCCTGCT